GTTTCAACCTGATGAATCATTAACTAGAAGCACTCGGAGAGTGCAAACCTCTGCCAAGGCCAATTTCTCCCATTTTGCAATAGAGTTAATGCACAAAAGCAGAGATGGAAACACATTTGCTGAATAAGTTCTGACGTAGTGAACATTTAAGCAGCAGTATGAATGGGATTTATACCCAGTGGAGTCCAATGTGAAAAAAAAGACTGGTCACCCGACGTTATTCATCCACAAACTGGTCCTGGATTAATCTTCAAAGTTTTCATCAGTCAGATTCCATCATGTAAAACATCTGTTTTATCTCCTTTTATCAGTTTTTAGTGGTTTGACTCTCTTTATAAACTGATGCTTCCTGCTACAGTCACTCTGGAAGCGACTCGCCTTGTTTGTTTTTTTTTGTTTTTTTTTTAAGTGAATAGTTGAAGTAAAATACAGTGTCAGACAGACAGACAGACAAATGTGACAGAAAACATTACCTCCTCCCTTGTTGGAGGTAAATTTGAATTTAATACTGTATAATAYGTGTATTAAAAATCTTTAGCTGTTTCCCCTCCCTGATGAATTTCACAGCTCATCCTATCTGAGACTTTATTTAGGTTTTCTGTTTAAAATCTCATTTTTGTGTTTGAAGGAGACCTGAACTGCATCGCAGGAGCCACGTCTCGTAATGGAGCATTCATCTGGGACGTCCGGAAAGGAAAGATCATCACTCGATTTAACGAGGTTCCTTCACAGCAAAACATTAAAAATTAATTCAGCAGTAATGAGGCAGAAGTGCTGAGTCAGCATTGAGTTCAAATAAGTTTGGATTTGATGAATGTGATATTTGCTCAGTTAGACTACCAGTTARGAATAAAAAGGATCTTTTAAAGTAGACCTGGGTGAAATGATAAGTGACAGCACATCAGTCTGTTGTTTTGGTTCCAGCATGGTAAAAACGGTATTTTCTGCATCTCATGGAGCCACAAAGACTCAAAGAGAATCGCCACCTGTAGTGGAGACGGGTTCTGGTGAGCTGCTCTCTGTTCTAACTCYGTTCTCATCAGATGGTTTTCTGTTTTCTAATCTGGGTTTTATTTTCCTCAGCATCGTCCGAACCATCGACGGTAAAATCCTCCACAAATACAAACATCCTGCTGCTGTTTTCGGCTGCGACTGGAGTCAGAACAACAAGTGAGCTGTTTCAGCTGCTTTCATGTTTAAAGAAGAGTTTTATGACTTTAGCTTTTTTCACAGACAGATATTTATCTGACTAAAGCTTYTCGTCTCTGTCTCAGAGACATGATCGCCACCGGCTGTGAGGATAAAAATGTTCGTGTTTATTACCTGGCCACCAGCTCCGATCAGCCTCTGAAGGTCTTCACTGGACATTTAGCTAAAGTTTTCCATGTTCGCTGGTCTCCACTCAGAGAGGGGATCCTGTGTTCAGGGTCTGACGACGGGTGAGCACACGTTTGGGTTTGCCTGTGTGGGACAGGTACTAAAGTACTGTGGGACAAGTACTAAAGTACTGTGGGACAGGTACTAAAGTACTGTGGGACAGGTACTAAAGTACTTTAGGACAGGTACTAAAGTACTGTAGGACAGGTACTAAAGACTGTAGGA